CAACGAACAAGCTGACAAACTCGCCAAAACCAATCCTCTCAACTCAAACATCACCCACTATATTACTCCCGAAGACCTCAACACACTCATCAAGTCCGACAACGAGAAACATATGAACAACAGCTGGAACACTTACCCAAAAACTATCTCTACCCTTGGTTTTCTAACACATCAGATATTTCTTTTCCTGACATCACTGACTGCCGCATCAATGTCCTCATCAACTGTGCAAGAACCAACTCTCTGCTTACGAACCACTTTCTTTATACTTGCAACATTTGCACCACTGACCAGTGAAAATACTGTCCAAACAAAACAGACACAACCATACATTGCTTCAATGAGTGTTCAAAATTCGACATCATCAGGGGAAAAATCCTCTCCAATAACAGTCTTACAAAAAATCATCTACTGAATATCAGTGACTGCCTTCAATTAAACCCGACAGACGTTTGCTTATCGACCTTTTTTAATGAATACAAAAATACCTACAACTATTAAATCAATCTAACTTGTTTCTCATCCATTTCTCATTTTATCTGCCAATGGTAGACAAACAGTTAATTCATCCACTTATTTTCGATGTTGCTCATTTACAGAGTCCTGAACCGACGACTCCACACCCCCTTGTGCATTCTCCTATAATCCCTCGACATTTTGTACTCATTTTGTCAAACGTTTCTTCTAGACCTTTCAAGTTCTTCAACTCGAGATTGCCATCTGTTTTTCCACTCACATACCAGGGGGTGCTCATTTTGTGTATGTAGTAGGTTTCTCTTTTAATCGTTGTGCACATGACGTCACCGTCAAGAAACACATGAGCTTTCGACATACTGTGGTGATCTTTGTTCGTTTACATTTGAAATTAAGTTTTGATTGGTGTTTGGAATACAAGTATAAGGTGAAATTTAATATTTTCAAAGTATCTGTCTGTTAAATAGTAGTGTATTGACGTGTGAATTTTTTAGTTAGTGTTCACTGATCAAGTTGAATAATGCCAAACTGTTGCGTGGCAGTGTGTGAAAAGACTAAAGGAAGTAATGTAATTTATCATTCTTTCCCAAAGCATCCTACTCTTAGAAGTAAGTGGATTCATGCCTGCAAACGAGAGGACAAAGTCAATGTTGAAAATGCAACAGTTTGCATTTTCACTTCCTTAAAGACAACTATGAGAGAGATCTAAAAGCAGAACTCTTAAATATACCTTCCAGGAGACGCTTAAAGCCTGATACTGTGCCATCTTTAAATCTGGCTCCTGTTAGATCTTCGGATGTCCCATGTACATCAGAGATAGTAGAGCAAATGCATGACAGAACAATAAGATATAAACAGCGAGAGAATCAGAAATGTGCACTGAACAGACTGTCCCATCTTTCACCAAAAAAGAATAAAATTGACATAGGTACTGAAACTGAACCTGTAAATGACCTTCTCTGGAAGTGAAATTAACAAAAAAACTGGATTTAGCAAATGCTAAAATTGATCACTTGAAGAGGGAAATATTTACCCTGAAAAGAAAAAATAATTTATTACAGTTGGCTCTTACTGAGAATAACCAAAAATTAAAATTATTAGAAAGTAAAAAACATGAAGTGAATGAGAGAAAGAAAATAAATAATATTTTGAAAAAAATATTTACCAAAACACAAATAGATTGTCTTATAACACAAAAAATGAAGCCAAATTGGACAAAAGAAGATATAGCAAAAGCACTGACCTTACGTTCTTTGTCTAGGAAGTGTTATGTGTATATGAGAAAAAGCCTTAGAATCCCTTTACCTACACTTTCTACTTTAAGGAGATGGGTTTCTTCATCTTTTCATTGCTATCCAGGAGTACTGCATGATGTTTTGCAAATAATAAAGATGAAATCTGAAAGTCTCACAGCTATAGAATCTCTCTGCATTCTGAGCTTTGATGAAATGAATGTTGACTCCAGACTCTGTTATGACCAAGAGATAGACAAAGTTTTTGGACCTCACAGTCAGGTGCAGGTAGTAATGACTCGTGCTCTGTGTGGGAATTGGAAATAGCCTGTTTATTATGACTTTGATACCACTATGACAGGTGAATTATTGAAAGAAATAATAACTAAAGTTTAGAGTGCAGGTTTTATAGTTGTTGGTGTTGTGTGTGATCGAGATGAGGAAAAAATTCAAAGGTATGGAACTATCTCAAAGTTGACCATGAAAATATGCTTTCAAAATCCTACCCATCCTGGAAAGCACATATGGGTCTATTCAGATGTGCCACATTTGATTAAACTTTTGAAGAATCATGTATTAGATGAAGGCATTATCTTACCAGGAGGAAAACATGTGAATAAAGATGTTTTTCTAAAAATATTATCCTTAGATAATGGGGAAATAAAGCTATGTCCAAAGCTGACACAAGCTCGATGTGCGAGAAAGAGAACATCAAAAAGTTAATCTTGCTTGTCAGTTATTTTCTAATCATGTCGCTCAAGCAATATCTTTCCTTCTACCTGATGACCAGGAAATTTCTGATTTTGTAAAACTTGTTAATGATACTTTTGACATTCTCAATTCAAGAATCCCTAAAATTGATGATCGTCCAATTGCTAGTGCATTTAGAATGCATACAGAAGGCCAAGAACAAGTACTTCGCAAATTTTATTCTATTTCTAAGAATACGAGTTTGGGAAAAAGAACACATTTATTACCATTTCAGAAAGATTTCCTTATGTCTATTCATTCACTCCTCTGCTGCTATACAGACCTTGGTAAAAATTACAATATTAAGTACTGTACATTTTAACTGCAAGATTTAATCAAGACTGTTTAGAAAATTTTTTATCTCAGATTCGTGCATTAGGAAGAACGTGTGACCACCCTCTCCCTGTTGAATTTAAGAATTGTTTACATCTTATTATGAGTAGAAATGTTACTGACATTACATTAATTAAGCTTTTCATGTCCAGTAGCAGTTGACAAAGATGTTGATGAATATCTTACATCACATCTTTTCACTGGATTAATTCCTAGTATGGAAGAAACACTTCAGATGATTGACAGAGACGCAGAGGTGCAAGAAATGACTAGAAATTTCACCATCTCATCTGTCAGTACCTACAGCTGAACAGGGACTGCGCTACTTAGCTGGTTATATTGCTCATCGTTGCAAGCAAATTAATATTTCTCTTGGTCATAATAGTGAAGAAATGAAACTCTCTTCACCTCAATTGAACAATGACTGGATAGAAAAGTTGTCACGAGGTGACTTGATAATGCCAACAGATAGCTGGCTGAACATTGTAAAGCAAATGGAAGTAACATTTTCACTGTTTATTGGAGACAATATTTCTAAAGTGAGCAATGTCGTTAAGGGCCTCTGTGAAATTTTATCAAAGAAGGTTCCACATTTGCATCCCCAAGTAAATAAAACTGTATGTTAGAACAAGACTTTTTATAAGGATACATTATATGAATGCAGAAAGCAAAATCCAAAGTTCTGCTGAACAACACCAAAAAAAAGGCAAGAAAGTGGCAAGCTTCATATGCTTGCACATCCAGACATTAAAAAATTTATAATTATATATATATATGTATATAGCTCTCTTGATGCAATGTTTTGCTTAAACCAGTATAAATATACACATTATTTAATATCTAGCTCTACAGCTAGATCTATTGTAATACCTACATTAATTTTGTATTGAATAAAAAAGCAATAATGTATTTTGTTACTTGTGAAGCATTAGTATTATTTTTTTTAAACTTTAGTTTTGTATAAGCATATTTATAACAAAAAAAAAATTTTTCTAAAAATCTTTACATGAAAGTTCAGAATTTTCTTCTTTACTCGGGAAATATCATGGAAAAACATTTACTTTTTATTGTTTCATGTTTATTTGCCTGAGGAGCAGCCATAAGGTAAAGTAACGATTTAATTTAATTGCTTGTAGAATACTTTTTCTCTAATTGGTTTTGTCATACGAGTGAATTGCGGTGTGTTATTTAGAATAAGTTTACAGGCGTAATTAAATTAATTAATTTTGAATGGCACCATATTAACAATCGTACATGTTTATTAACCGTTGTTTGAGTTTTGCGGTGCATTCGTTTCTCTAAGATTGCGTTTCTGACATAAACAGTACATGTTAGAGCATTAGTGAATAAAGTTTCTCGATGGTGACGTCATGCGCAGTGGCATTTTTCTCGTCAGAACGAGTTGCGCTTACCTTATCAAAGTACCTTGCTCACATACCCGAAAAACAACTACGCGGGGCGAAATATCCAACGTAGCTGGCGCCTAACTTCGTCGCCAGAGGGCGGCAAGCAAGCAAGAAGGATTGGAAGTACGAAATAATCTAATACGTAATCTTAATCTTTGTTGTTTTTTTGCCCGAACAACGTCGGGCTCAACCGCTGGTTTTCGAATAAAATACAAAAGCTTTACAAATATAACGACGGACCGTCCTTCGTCGGCCGCAGTTCCGTTTGATAGACGACTAGCGCCATCTGTGGAGGAGTTAGTAAAATATTCCTATTTAACGCCGAGAAAAAATAGTTAAAATACCTATCGTTTGACGTCTCTAAGAAATATTCGAAATTTCCGATGGATTATTTGGAATGACATAACGATTTGAGAAATGGTTTAAAAGTTTCGCGAAGAGAGAAACGTAACTATAACGACACCAGAGAGACGAAAGCACCCGTCCGAAGTAGTCTCATTGGGCAAGAAATTTGAATTATCTGTAACATGATCTATTTTATAAGGTAAATTCAAACTTTAAAACCACATGAACAGACTAATTTGCCTTGTTCAGGATGATTTGAATACCTATGCTTCTTACTCATATTTTCAATCTCATTAATATTTTTCATTGACTTATTTGTAAGTGGAATTTTGCTGTCGTAAAGCGTACTTTCCACAGAAGAAAGCAAGTCTTGAAATGATTTATCATTACGCATTTGAATTTCTGAAATGTTCACAAAACTCACAGAAATCTTTATCTTTGCAGAAGAAGATTCGAATTCGAGCTCAGGTTTCCCTTCATTATATGCGTGCTAATCTTTCGCCTTTTACTAAAGATTACCGTGGAGGGAAACATTACAATGAGCCTATAGGCAATTTTTGAAGCGGGATGATTTCCTAATCAAAAAGTAGACCGAATAACTGTTACAGATCAGGAACACACGTGCGTGAAATCTAGCATAAAACAAAAAGCGTAAAAATTGTTCTGAAATTTTGGCTATTTTCACTTGTGTAACTGAAAATAGAGTAGAGCATGTCTCTACTTTTTACGCCTAAATTTCTCCAATAAAGAGAAGTCTTTTCTATGACGTCAAAGTAGACACGTGGTTTTTATTCTAACAATGGCGGCAACTCTACAATTGTGACGATCTCGAAAAAACGAAAAATAAATGAAATAGAGGACTTTATTTAATCCGTTCGACCACATCAGTGTCATGTATAAAGGTACTGTATTTAAATAACGTTTATGGATGGCTATAGGTACAAAATTGTACAGTACAGCAGAAGCAAAGGTTTATATAAATGGTGAATTATCAGAAAGTATTAAATGTGAAAGAGGTGTAAGACAGGGATGTGTGGCATCCATGATTTTCTTTGTGATATTTCTAAGTCTGCTTACAAATAGTGTGATGGAAGAACCATTGATTGAAGAGGTATATTTCCCAGGATCAGATGAAAAAATAAAATATATAGGACATGCAGATGACATAAATTTTATAATTAGTAATAGATTATCTTATGAAAAAGTAATNGGGATGATTTCCTAATCAAAAAGTAGACCGAATAACCGTAATAGACCAGGTACACACATGCGTGAAATCTAGCATGAAACAAAAAGCGTAAAAATTTTTCTGAAATTTTGGCTATTTTCAGTTCTGTAACTGAAAATAGAGTAGAGCATGTCTCTACTTTTTACGCCAAAATTCCTCCAATAAAGAGAAGTCTTTTCTATGACGTCAAAGTAGACACGTGGTTTTTATTCTAACAATGGCGGCAATCCTACAATTGTGACGATCTCGAAAAAACGAAAAATAAATGAAATAGAGGAGTTTATTAATTTAAATCCGTTCGACCACATCAGTGTACTGTATAAAGGCACTGTATTTAAATAATGTTTATGGATGGCTATAGGTACAAAATTGTACAGTACAGCAGAAGCAAAGGTTTATATAAATGGTGAATTAACAGAAAGTATTAAATGTGAAAGAGGTGTAAGACAGGGATGTGCGGCATCCATGATTTTGTTCGTGATATTTCTAAGTCTGCTTACAAATAGGGTGATGAAAGCGGTATATTTCCCAGTATCAGATGAAAAAATAAAATATATAGGACATGCAGATGACATAAATTTTATAATTAGTAATAGATTATCTTATGAAAAAGTAATACAAATAATAGAAAAATATTGTTTAATGACTGGAATGCAGATAAATAAAAAGAAGCGTAAAATCTGTAATGTGGTGGGAGAGATAATTAAAGATTCTGAGGTACCAATAGTTAAAAGTTTAAAAATCTTTGGAATATTTTTTGGTGAAAATGCAAGAAGACAGAATATATATAAAATGAAAAATAACATAAAAAAAGTTAAAGAAGAGTGGAAAACGAGTAGTTTATATCTGCCAGAAAGAGCAATGATAGCAAAAAAGGTGATAATAGCAAAGATTATTTATTTTCTTTATGTGATTGACATGACAATAGAGCAAATGAAGGAATTGGATATAGAAATATACAGATATATATGGAATAGAAGGTTTGAACCACTTGCTAGAAAAATAATGAGAAACAACAGAAAATGGAGGATGGGAAATATGAGAAATGCGTGAATTTGCAATGGCATTGCAGATAGCAATAATAAATAAATACAATAGAAAAAAATAGTAGTAAAAAGCCTTTTATGATAAAAAAAAAACAATAAAAGACATAGAAAGTGGAGAGAGATACTGAAGCAAATAGCAGAAAATGAACCAGAGTTGTTGATGTTGGAAAGTATAGTTAAACCTTCAAAGATATACTGGATAATACACAAAGAATATCTACATAATCAAAGCAGTAATGATAAAATGGTCTGGAATAATTTGGAGAATTTGCCAGCAGAGTGGCATGAAACAGCTTGGAGTCTGATAATGAAGGTAACAATAACAAAGAGCTTTATGGTGAGACTTCACTGGAGAAAAGAGAACAAATGTGAAGTATGTGGGGAAGTGGAGCACAATATACATGTCTTTTATAAATGCCGACCAGCGAGAATAGTGTGGAGATGGATGGCGAAATTGTGGTACACTAAGATAACATGGAGGAATGTTATTCAAATTACAAATAGAATATAAAGTGAGATACAAGACATATATGTTGAATTGGATGATTGCATTAAGCAAGAGAGCATTGTGGAAGCATAGATGTGAGCAACTGTATGACAAGAAGGTAATGAGCTCTACATTGGTAATAGGAAGAATAAAAGGATTGACTGAATTAAAACTGAAAAAGATATGGAAATAATGACAAGACAAGAAATAGAGGCCTGCTATGAAGGAACAGAAGGTAAAATTTGGGAAAGAAGAGGAAATGATTATAGAATTTTACGTTAACAGCGATTATTGAGAGTTTTATTAATTTTTATTGATGTTAGGTGATTTTGGTTGTTTAGTTCTTAAATTGTAACGATTTTTAGTGGTTGGCCATTAGATTGGTAAATATTGGCTGTGTGTTAGCCATACAAATAGTGTGGCAATTTTATTGATGTTATATAATGTATTGTAACGATAGATTACTGTACTGCTATAGTTTAATGATTGATTAGTTGGTATATGTATCTTTGGCTTTGTGAATTGTTAATAGTTATGTAAATGCTGTGATGATATGCGCAATTTTTTGAATTGTAATGTTTTGAAAAAGTTAAATCAATGTGCAATTAAGTGATGTTTGAAAGATTATCAATTAATGTTTTGATATGTTGTAAATTCATTGTAATGGATTGACATAATGCCCGTGATAAACGTTGCAGGAGCATATTATGTACTATCCTGGACTAAATAAACTTTATAAATTTTGCCTTTTACTAAAGATTACCGTGGAGGGGACTATCTTTTTACCTCGCAGCTTTTTGGCTGGGAGTAAGTGCTTTTATTGTTCATGAATGTGCTGAAGCCATCCACATTGTTGAATTTCACCTGAGACCATCATCATCAACGTTTTTGGAATTTGCTGAATAGAGCCATGGATTGACCCGGACCGAGTCATGCAGCAGTGTCTAGGATAGAACACCGACCTTGGATTTCTAAGGAGCCGATGGATGGAGCCATGGACCGACCAGGACCGAGCTATGCAGTAGCCTCTGGGATAATAGCTGAACCAGAGAAAACGCAAGAGCTGGAGGATGACTCTTCTTTATCAGATGATGACTCAGAAGGAGAAGAGAAAGAAGTCAGTCTTGGTGAAGAAAATATAGAGGAATCACCGGAAATAGAAAAACTTAATGAATATAAGAAAATTAAATCAGTTAGAATTAGAGTGGAAGAGAAGATTGAGGTGAGAGAGTTAGTTCATGCGATTAGCTTGAAGCTAGAAATAACTGGTGTGGTAGAGCAGGTGTGTTTTCAGCCTGGCAATATAATAGAGATTGGCCTCTCATCAGTAGAAGATAAGGAGAAAGTGATTGGAGAGGAAATAACAATAAATGAAGTGTTACTTGATAGAGAGCATTGAAGCAGAATTACTGAGTATAACTTTAAAATATGTGCCATCAGAGTTTGATGAGTTTCTGTTAAAAAAAGTAATGAGACTGTGGCGGCCGAACAATTGTAACTAGCGCTACATCTGAAAATCCAGGTGGCGCTGGCGCGACGGATATATAAACATGTGCAGGCCGTCCGCCATATTCTTTTTTCTTCCTTTTTCCCGACTGGTCAACTACTCTGCGGACGCAGTTACTCTCCTGTACCAACACGTGGATCCTAACCAACCGTACGGATAGTGTAGAACGAGATTTCTATGTACATTATGTAAATAAAACAAATGGTGAGAAATATGTCTACAGGTTCTATATATATTCTCAGCAAACACATAATCAGTGGTGCGACGAATGCCACAGAGACATTATGGCAAAGTAATCAAAGTCAACCCGAAATACCATCCAGGAGAACCTAAAATTAAAAATGGAACCTATTTAATAATAATGGAGACCAGACAACGGATACCGAACTTTATCAAAATTTTTGGTAAAAGAATTCAAGTCTATTATCCTGGACTAAAAGAACAATGTAGGAAATGTGGTAAATATGACCACAAATTGCGTGAATGTGTAATTAAAACCTGTCATAGATGTGGAGAAACGACACACTTGATAAAAGAATGTTTGAAATGTCCATTGTGTCTGAAAGAACATACTGGTAAATGCAGGAAACCTACCTTTTCGGAAATTGTTAAATGTGGATTTTCAAGAGATCTCGAAGTAATAATGTTGAAAAAGGGAAAGAAAATAAAGCAAGAAAAGTTGAAAGAAAACAAGAAGATAAGGATGAAGGAAAAATAATAGAAAGTGAAAAGGAACAAGAGAAGGAAAATGAAAGAGAAAACCAGAATGAGATAGTTACAGGAAAAGAAATTAAATTAGGAAAATAAAAGAGATAAAGATACAAAATGAGAAAGCTAATAAGGAAAATGAACAGAAAAAAGATGATAAGGAAGATGAAGTGGAAGTGGATAAGATAACTAGAAAACGAGGGAGAAATAAAAAGGAAAATGATGGAGGAAGAAAGAGACAAGGAAAAACCCAAACAAGAACTGATAATGGATAGAAAACTAAAGATAAACTTTGTTAATATCTCTGGAATGAGGGATAAATACAAGCAAATATTCTTGGCAAACTTGGTGCAAGTGCAAGAGATAGATATTCTAGGATTGCAAGATACCAATATTAAAAACTTTTTGGACTTAAGGGAACTGAGAAAATTGTTTCCTGGTTATAATATTTATATGTCATTCGCCATAAGAAGGAGTACGGGAATTGTGACGATGATAAAGAATACGATAAAGATACAGGACTTTGTTACGGACTCAAAGGGAAGAATTCTTGCAGTTGATATTAAAGTGAGTGACTGCTTTTTGAGAATTTTAAATATTTATACCCC